CCTGTCATCCTCATTGCAGTTCCTTTTGTTTTAAACAATTTTGTCTTCATCCTGAGATGGGGGATTCGTGCAATATTGGTATTTATGTGAGTTGGTGGTACTGCAGAGAGGGAAGGGCAACTGATATCATTGGTACCAACATAACAAAGCAACTCACATTGGTCTGAAACCCCAGAAAGACCATTAAAGATGCTGATGTCATAGGAAACCCAAAGTCTACATGAGGAGGGAAGCAACCAGAAGACAAAGAACTAATCATAACAAAGAACTAATCATAATAGCAAGAACTACTATTTGTTGTCGCATTTAGTTTATGTAACACTGTCAATCACCTCCACGATAGAGTGCCCATTATCCCCATTTAGAGATGAAGACCCTGAGCGCACATCTGGTAGGAACTGAGTCCAGGATTCAGGATCCAAACACCAGCTGTCTGAATGCAGAGCCTGCACAGGTAACTTTTAAGAAGGGGGCAGGCCTAGCCCTCCTGGGTGGCCTGATAACAACTCAGTTGTTTGCTGTGGGATGAAGATGTTATGGCGAGGGGAGACAGATGTAGAGGGGCTGTGAAAGGGGGATTTTGAAATATAAAAGTTGGTTCAATCACCAAGATGTACAGAAGATGGTGATGAAAAAGCATCATAAAGTCAATTAACTGCAACATCAAGGAACTCTGTTAAGGTCTATTTTGTCCATGCTACCTCAGGACCCAAAGGGATCACTGCTACCAATGGACAGGTTTGGAGGTGAAGATTGGGACTCCTGGAAGAAACACAATTCAGACATTCTACCAAGCATGCACTTACATATCTTGCTACCACTTCAAACTCCATGTGCCTAAAAGTGAACACATCAACTTTGACTTCAAAATGGGCTTCTGCTGAATGTATTGTTCCTGACAATTGTTCTGCTTCATAAGGTTGTACTGTTTTTGGTCCTGCTGCTAGTGTCATCACGATTCCAGAAATGTTTTTTAGGCTACCAAAAGGCTATTTTTCCTGCCTTCTGGTTAGCAAGTGAGATTCTAGGCTCACTACTGTACAAAATTAGAATATTTCTGGATCAGTATAACTGTATTGACTGGGTGAGCTCCTAGTTGTCGCAGCAGCTCAGACCTCTAAGCTTTCTCTCCAATCTTGCACCCAGGTATGGTGCAACTACTATTTCCTCTCATCACAAAGTCTTTGCATTTTCCTTTCCATTGATCTAACTACATGTCATGTACCTTTCATTGGGCAGGTTAAATAACCTCTTGGGCTAGTCGTTTATTCCTTTGATCTTCTACTTAATAAATCCTAAGCTGTGGTGTTTATTGCTTTCTGTCTTGACTTCAACTTTATATCCAGATTTTGTTCTTTGATTCTTCTTCTTATATTTTAAATTTAAATTCTTTATTGCTTAAAGTATTACATAAGTCTCCTTTCCCTCACATTGACCTCTCCCCAGCTGCATGTACCATTTGTCTTGCCTGTTAAATGTTAGTCCTATGAAGCAGAGCAATACTTTTTGTTTATCAAATTATATTCCTGCTCTACAGCAGACTCTGCTGGAGAATACCAGGTGCCTTACAATCAGTGCTGAATATTTGCTAAGTAATATGACTTAATAAAACAGATGGCATCTCTCTGCATTATTTCTTCAAACTGCATGAAGACCTATGATTATCTCAAAATAAAATAATTTAAACACTAGAAATACAGCCACAAGTTGCAAGATCCTGACACAATAATTGCCACTTGTCTGTTTACAAATTACAAATATTTTTTTATTAGAACAACATGGACACTCATTCAATTAGAAGAAGCTTTGTTAACTTTTCCCCAAACAGGTGGCTTATGCTTTTTAAATCCTAGAGAATTGTTGCGTTGTTTCCTTCCTCTGGGATGTGAGGGAGGTGGGACATGAAAGGTAGAGGATGTACCTTGTAGACAGGGTGCAGTCCTGGGAGGCACCTCATGGTGGATAGGAGGAGGAATGAAGGCCCCTCCACTCACCCTCTTAAGTGCTGAGGGGACGTGTCAGTGCCATGATGGTCAGGTTCAAAGCAGGAGGAATTGGAAAGAGGTGTCCAGTATGACTGAGAGAAACGTGATGAGGGTGTGAGTTAGGATGGTAATATAGGAAGGAAAAGCTGGACATGTGAGATAAATGACAGCCCTTATGAACTGACTGATGAGAACAGTAAGAGTGAAAACACATGAAAACCAAGGGAGAAAATTTGTCTAAGAAGAAATATTCCACAGAAACATAGGTCAAAATGAGATTAAATACCCTTATGGTGAGAACCAACAGAGAGCATTCTGACTCTCAAAAAGGCAGTTTCAGGTGAGTGGTGAGTAGGCTGTCAGGTAGAAAGGAGATATTGGATAAGGACAGGTGTCACTGAATGAGCCAGGGGTGGGTGGCAAGAGCCAGCTGTCTGTGTCCCTTGGCAGACGTTGGGATGAACACGGGGCAGTGTTGGGAATGGGATACCCAGGGTACCTCACCTGGATGACCATGGGTAGCAGCTTCCCACTGGCTTCCATCTTCAGCATGACAAGGGGGGCAGCCAGGTACTGCTGCACTCCTTGGATCACATTGGCTGGGATCCTATCCAGTAGGATGAAGTCAGCCTCAAACAGGGCACCTTTCTAAGGAAAGAGGAATGTATCCAGAAAAAAGCATACCTCCACAGGGCCAGGACAAGTAGGAGAATGTAAAGACAGTCGCTCTCTCTTCTTGCCATTAGCCCATGTCAGCACCTGTGTCCCAGTGGCTGAACTGACGGAAGCACCAAACATCAAGTTCAAGTTCTCTTATTTTATAGGGAGGACTAAGACCCCATGAAAGGAGTCTTCCCTAGAGACCTACAGCTTGTCTGTGTCAGGAAGTTTTAGGACTAAGTATGCCAGTTGATTCTGTAGCACAGGTATGCCAGGCTCTCCCTTTGTCAGGCTGCCCAAGCTCCTTTCCCCACCATCTCCTAATGGTCAGCTTTATTGGCAGAATCCAGCTTCAATGCTTTTCC